TAACTGGAATAAATATTTGACAATTTCTATAGAAAAAAAAATTCAACGTAAAAATGCTATTTTTTAGTCATCTCCAGTTTTTTAAAGTTTTTTCGGCCAAAGAGAGGTCGAATCGAAATAAAAAGTAGATATTCGTGATCAGCTTTTGAAGGGCTTTCAAATCATATATAAACGAACGAGAAAAAAATTCACTCCAGTTTTGCATTACCGGCACCTTACATAAGTGTCGACATTTCTTTTTGGACTTTCTCTGTGTTGTGCGAAAACAAGTCTTAATAAGAAAATTTTATTGTGACACAATTAATCAAAGCAATATTTTTTGGTTTTTTTTACGATTTAAACAATTTGAGTTACTTAGAAGTGGAATTCTTATTATTTTAAAGCAATTCTGATTTCTTTGCTTTCTTTCCAGCATTTCGAATTGATAGTTCTCTTTTAAGCACTCAAAATTACAGAGACTTTTAACAATTTTGATTAATATTCTCCACTTTTCTGATTTTTAGCAATTCAAAGAACGTTTTGGCTAATTTGGAGTAATATTTTTTGAGAAATTGATTTTCGGTACTTGCAATAATATTTTTTTGTTTTTGTCTATACATTTAACCGAATTGCTTAAAGAAAGAAATTCGGTGCTGTAAAAAAGTGCATCACCCTGAAGTCACCCGTGCCATTATGAAAAAAAGAAAGCCGGATTATTTATTTCCATCTGTAATTTGTGTTAATAAATAGACCAAAATAGAAAACATCGATTTTACCTAATGAAAACCCAAAACTTGAAAAACCATCACTTCGAATCGATTAAAAAAAAGAATTCCTCCAAACTGCTGGAAAATAGTAACCTTGGCGTAGGCCTGTGACAGTTCTTAGAACTGAAACTATTGATAACAGTTTTAGTTCTTTGAATTTGGGACTTTGTTTTGTAAAACCTTACCATGATTTTTAATCAGATTTTGGGTAAAAAGAAAAAATTTACGCATATCACAGAACAACTGTTATTTATTATTTTCGAAAGTGTTGCTTATCAGATAAAATTAAAATTCTGTATTCGTTAAAAAAGATAAGAAGCAAAAATAAAAAACGATTCGGCATATCTGATCTAATTATTTCTATTTAAAGGAGACTCAAAATGATACATATATTCTGTTACACGAAGTCGTGTCTAAATTCGTTTCGAAAAAGAGTCGAGACACAAAACAAGTAAAAAGTAGTAGATACTAATAGTTCAGATCTTATTAACAGAATGTTGCATAGAGCTGGAAGATGTCTTATTTTAGAGAGAATGATTTCTATCTTTTTCCAGTATTTAAAGCTGTCTACGAGTGTTTACTTTTCTAAGTGTTTTTTGGAGAATCGAGTTTTCAAAGAGGATATTTAACGATTTTTGCATCTCAATCTACTTCTTACATGGTGAAAGCTGACTCCCAGTTTTTGATCGTAAAATCTGCAGTTTATCTGACGTGAGTAAAACAGAAAAAAATTTTTTTTAGGTAATAAATAAAATTTGTTCAATCACATATGGTTGCAAATATGTCAGGTAAGGATGACACGTGCGTAATATAACTCGTCAAATGATATGCTATTGAATGAGATATGATAAGACAATAGTTAACAAAGTTTGTTATTTCTCAATTTCATGGACTCATTGTCCCTGGCTTATCTCAGGAACTGTCAACAGATATTTGGGTCATTCAGGTGTGTGTATGAGAAGAAAAACGAGCCTCAAAATATGAATTTTGTCCTTTTCAGTACATTTTGGTAGCGTATATTCGTCAATTACAACGAAATTATGAAAATTTTGTTTTTTCGCGATTTACCTAATCTCGTTAAAAATTCAATGACTCTAGCGACAAACAAGCTTCTTAAGATAAACGTTGGAAACATTCCCAAGTATGTTGTGTCTATCTACTGTGAAAATTTCAGCGAAATACGAGATGATCGTTGAGCTGCCTATTAGTGAATCCGGCGTATTTATTATGCTTAGAGTAATTTCGATTAACTGCAAAGAACAGCAGATTTTACTACCGAGTATTTATTCAAGCGCTTTTGTTTTACGAAATCGATTCAGAGTGATTTTTTTTCAAAAAAAATTCGGATGTCGGGAAAAAAGTAAATGTCTTCAAATCAGGGTTATTACCAGATACATGCTTGACCAGTGCGTCCTATTTAAAGTTTTCAGCTGAACGGCACATGTCAGATTACGTTTAAAATTTTTTTTCTTTTCTCCAAGTTTTTGGAAATTTTCAAGTAAAAATTCGGAAAATAAAAGTTATCTTCCGAGTGAAAAAACAATTTTCCCATTAAAAAATGAGCTTCAAAAATGAAGAACTAGTGAAGAGATAGACAGGGCATTCCAATTTTCGAAAGGCTGAAAAAGCTTACTTGAAGGATTGTTAAATGAAGGTTACTCGTGACCTATATTTCTATTTTCTATTTGATCAATTATTTTTGTTGTTGCTGTTGTAAAGAATAGTTGTGTTTTTGTTCGCGTATTATTTGTCGAAGCAGCGTTCATTATTTCTCCGTTATTACCTACATAAATAAAGTGAAATAAATTCTTTCTAGTTACTTAATATTTGATTTAATAAAACACCTGATACGTCGTCATCAATCAAGGTTCTCAAATTTTCTTCAGCTGCTTGTGTTTGATTAATAGCTTCGCTTTCGAAATCATTCGGTAAGCAATCGTCGAATGTATATTCATTAGTCGATCTGATTGTCGAACGATGAAAACCTGAAAAAGAAAAGTAGACGAAAATTAAGAGAGAATTTTTTTCAATTTATTGAATAGATAAGTGCGAGCATCCCACATAGAATACCTTTTCCAAAAGAAAAGGTCCTTTTTAATTATCTTCCGTTGAACGGCGTTCATATAGAAATTCTTTTTATAAATTTACAAATAATAATATCTAATAAAATCTCTAAAGAAGAAGAAGGCACAGCAATTTACTCTTGGACATTTTTCTTTATCTAATTTTTTTCCTTTTTTAAAAAAATAATTCAGTAGAGAAACAACTTACTTTTATTTGAATGATCAGAAGAATCAAACAAGTTACCATTATCTGAACAAAAGAATTATCATTCATTTCAATGAAGCGTCATCAGTTTTTTTCTGGTTAACCTTGTTTAGGTATTGAATTCTTTTTAGGTGTATTAAACGATTGAATAAGTTGTAAATGGGCCAATAATTTGTACAGCTGATAAGGGAAATATATCATACAACAATATATTGACATTGCAATAACAGTAAATAATATACTGGAAAAAGCTACTCGTTCCCATGGTTCTAACACATAAAGTGATGTAGTTAATAAATATTGGAAATAAAGCCAATGTATGAATTCACATAAACGAGAAGTAGCAGAAAACATAGTTTGTCGTTGTTGTGGACGATAGTGATTAATAGATATTGAGATTCGATGATTGATTCTGAAAACAGCAGAGAAAATGGCACATATTAGGAAAAAGTTAACGTTTATTGATTATAAATGGAATCGAACAAGTGGATCAATGCTTAGTCTTCTTGAAAACACTATGTCATGTCGCTGGTTTGTTGAATGCGCAGATCATAGATCTATTTTCAGTATTTGCTAGTTTCTTATGTTTAACAGTGTTGACTCGGAGGTGATAGTCGTTGATTTGACGAATTTCTCAATATATTTATGGTTTTTAGCTCACTGAAAGCAAGAAAAAAAGGAAAAGAATCTATTGGAAAAGATGAATCTTTCCCTTCGTATTATTCTTTTATTGCCATGCTTATGACTACCTTGTCATTATTACGCCCGTGCTTATTTTGACTTTATGTGTGATAGATATTTCGCCATTAGTACACCAATACTATATAAATGCAATAGTCAACGATAATACTTAAGACTACCTTTTTGCCAACAAGTAAGCCTCAGCTATCTTGATATTCTATGTAACGTTAGCCAGTATACTTTTCGAAACATAGTTTGAAACTGGGCATCACGTAATGTACAGCGACTTGTAAGAGAGCAAAGACGAGGAAACATCCATCTCACGTTTTAAACTAGAATAACTAGAAAACTAGAAGCCAGTCTTAATCAATGTACTGCAAACTCCAGCTGAGATTGCATGAAGAGTTTTCATCAGAAATGCTCGTTCATCTACCGTCATAAAGTACAAGGCCGTAGCCTAATATCATGATGGTTTAGAGGATACGGCCAGTAACACGACCAACTTTTGAATAAATAGCAAACAGTTTAGGTGATCTCACATTAGGTACACTTCTCACAAATGATTTTACCAAATCACGCCGTCGTATCCTGAGTAAGAACTATCAGTGCTGTTGAATCCTTGTCTCGTTCCCTTCCCCAACAAGGTCCTCGATGTCATCTATCTCCGGCAGACTAAGATTTGTGAACGACGCTATGCTAAACAAGACTCTCTTAAACCATATTTACGATTTACGCTTTTTTATATTCGAACGAGATAAACAACGACCAATTAATCATAAGGCTTGTGAATGTACTTTTTCCTGAAGGAATACGTAGACGAAAAGAAAAAAAGTAAAGAAAAGATTTAAAAGAAATTCTTTTGTATGTGTATATCCTTGACAATGATTTTTTAATAAATCGAAACGTAGGAAATTTAAAATGATTCAAACCGCTGCTTTAGTCTTATTATTGTTCTTAACACTGGTGAAAGCCCTCCGTCTCTATCTCATTGTGTTAGAAAGTTATTAAAATCCATGCTTTTTCTGTTTTATTATGGAAGGCAGATGAGTATGACAATCAGCAGTTGGTTTTCTTACCTTGTGTTGAATTGTTGTACTCTGAATAGTGTTTAGTTACGCTTCGATAGCTTTCGCGATTAAAGCAGTCCAGTTACTGTAATATGTGAAAAATGTTATCATAATAAGGATAAATTGTAAGCATTAGCCCTTCGCATAGAATTATAACGGTTACGCTGGCGAGTCATTGTAGATGTTTGTATAGTAGATAAGGGGCAATATCGCATCGAACACTCAACGTGATTAATAACAAGTGAATTTACATACAACTGCGTGTATAGAAGAGAAAGATTACAGGCATCGTTTCACTTGATTCAACGTGTCGGATTAAAGTTGTATCTTATAAATTTCCCCCTCCATCAGGCTTTTTTCCTTTCTGCGTAAAGTCATTCTATGTTATATTGATATACATTTATAAACAAATTATAGGGCACACTGTTCTCAGCAATGTCGAAAGTCTCGAATGTATCACTTTAATCAAATTTTTAAAGTTTTGCTAAGTAGTAATCTAGAAAACATGACCTACGTTAAATATTGGACGTTCTCTCTTCACTGCTGGCAACGGAAACTTAGATTTCACTTTCTCTTCGCTGAAATTTGTGAAAATCTACGAAAGGGCAGAATACGTGTAACTTGATGTGCTCTACAAACTGGCAACGTATTCCCACATATCTAGAGAGAAGCGATCTCTCTCTCTTAATCGATTTTGTTGTAGATTTTAACTCTGCAAGCAAACGACAGTTAGTTTTAGAATTACAATTATTTATGTTGTATCAATACTAATTTTCAAAATACATGGCTGTTTCTAATCGAAGTAATGGTGACTCAAATATCTTCACAGTGTCGCTGCCATCTGAAAATGAATCGTCAAGCTTCAAACAGACATCAACAGTAGAATCCAATATCAAACACAATATAGATCTAAATTATGTATACTCTAGTGCGTTGCTATGTGATAATTTATCAAGATTTAAAAGCATCGAACGATCACCATACGAAGTAGTTGCGAAAAATGTACCGATTATAAGTGATAACAAAATGCCATATTTAACATTTAGAACAATTGTTTTGGGTTTATTATTTACGATAATTATGGCAGTAATGAATACAATATTTTCATTCAGAAGATTTCCATTGAATGTTGACGTTGTTGTTTTTCAATTAATATCACTGCCGATTGGTAGAATTATGGCAAGTCTCTTACCTAAAAGACCAATGAAAATTCTTAAATGGAGTCTTTCATTAAATCCAGGACCATTTAACATCAAAGAGCATACGTTAATTTGTGCCATGGTGGCTGCTAATGCTGGCACACGTTATGCAATTTTTCAAATCACCGCGATGGATAACTTCAATAAACGGCCATTATTACTTAAAACTGGTCTTTTCTTGGTTATTACGTCAAGCATGATAGGTTATGGAATGGCAGGCAAGTATTTATATTAATTACGCGGTCTCGAGAGTCTGATTGCTACTAAAGATTGTACTTTTGAAAAGGTATGTTATCGTTATTCATGAAATGAATATCATAACCTTCTTACCAGTTTCAGCTTCACCATTCTCAATAACATCCCGAAGGTATGAAAGCGTAACGCAGGATATTCTACCCCCTCCCATAATAGAAGATCACCTGGCCTTCAACTTTGTCCGGCAAGTCGAATTCTAACATAGGTTGCAAGATTATCCCTTGCAAAAAGTTCTGCATAGTCAGAAACATTTCGACTTTAGAAAACTCCAACATGTATGATTTTCTGTCCTCTCTATGGGATACTAGCTATAACCACACAAATGTAATAGATGTACATATATACATACAGTCGTAAATACATACTGTCGTCATTTGTTGTTGCGTCCAAAAAAACCAAGTTAGGTTGCAAAAAACAACGTCTGGTCCTCTGATCCTCTCGTCGTCTGGAAGTTAAGTTACAAAAGAAAAAGTTTGGTCCTCTGATCGACTGGTACTCTGGTCGTCTGGTCTTCTAGTCCTCCGGTCGTCTGAGGGTGGTGTTAAGAAATAGTAAAGAATAGTAATTAAATGGGTCTTAGAACACAGAGTGGTTATGTCCTTGTAATCATGCACATAACATCCTATTGGATTCAAAATGTACACCAGTTGTTACCTTATCTCAGCTATGTCTGAATTGTCAGGCCGCTAGTACGACAGTTGAAAATAATTGGGGAGCGCCAGAGACCAGACCTTTTTCCTGCAGACGACTAGAGCACCAGACGATCAGACTTTTTTTTCCAACTTTTTTTTCGATCAGAGGACTAGCGCATCAGACGACCAGTCTACCAGACCTTTTTTCATAACTTAACTTGCAGACGACCAAAGCACCAGAAAACACAGAATTTCCGAAATATTTTTCGGATAAACTGAACTTTTTGCAAGTGATAATCTTGCACCCTCTGAATTCTATTAGAAGATTTTGGCTAAATTATTTTGAAAATTGCTCTGTGCGTAAGTGTACGGCATTAATATATGTCACTTTGTAACGGTACTCAATCTCATGCGGCACATACCAATGTTCATTCGTCTGCCGCCTCTATTGCACTAGAAGAGAAGTTCAGCTGAAAGTTATAAGCATTAGAGGAAGCCTGTGGATCAGACTCATGTCAACGAGTATCACAAAGCTTGTTCCGCTGGACTCGAAAGGAAGAATTTGTTTACACAATTTCTTTTTGCCTTGCATAAAAATGATATCGATGATGAGAGAATATCTTGATGGCCGCTTCGAAACTCAATGACTTCTGTGAGATAGACAGGTAACGTATTGGTTTTTATCTAATACGTGTATGTTTTGTGTAAAAATATGAGCTAATGATAGGTTCAGCGCTCTATAAATAGTAGTATTTCTGACCGTTTAAAATGCGGTCCATCTATTGACAGCACGTTTCGATCGATACTTAAGTCGCATGTATTAAAGTGTTCAGACAATTGATCGAGATGATTTTTATAATCGCTAACTATCTGTCTGTACGATGTTGTTGAGAAGTTTGCGAAGGCTCAACATAGAATGTGAGAAATTAGTAATTCTACACTTGTATTTGTAGTCGATCTCGCTTTTGGGGTCGGCTCGGGTTGTATAGAAGTGTTGGTAAGTATGGTAGACGTAAACGTAGGCTTTGATAAGTTTAGTAGTGATGAATGTTAATATTATTATTCACGGCTGAAATAGTCATAGGAGATCGGCGAAAGTATTTATCAAGCACACCTTCAATTCAGTCAGGGTTGCATTTTGTGATATGATCTATTGATTAGACGTAGAGACTTTGCTTCATTTATATCCGGCGCCGTTGAAAAAGACAAGAAAAAGGATGTTCTCCTCAGAACTCTTAGCTTTAGAAAAAGTGTTGTCAAAAACTGCACTGTATTCGATTTTACAAATGTGATGTTTATCGGCACAACCAGATGCAGTTCTTCCCATTTTTTCTCTTATAAGCTGTGACTTTTGCGGAAACTGTATTTGTTACAAAGTAAAAATCCGTATTTAGCCCTCCAAGAGTCCCGCGTCTTATTTCGATCTCTTTTCCTCTTGAGTCCATTTCGCAGAGGAAAACGATATTAGTGTACTGTATTTCTGAAGAAAAAGACATCGTTTTTAAAGGTATTATGCGCCGATTTCTCGTATGGCCAGCAGGAATGATATGGCCTACCGTTGTTGTTGATTGTGCAGTACTTCAAGCGTTACATGAAGGTGAAAGCGATGATAACGATTCAATTCATTCAACATGGAAACTTAGTCGATCTAAATTCTTTTTAATTGTGCTGTTTATTACATTTGTTTATTCTTGGTTGCCCACTTACTTTATGCCTATTTTAACATTCTTTTCGTTATTATGTTTTATGAATAAAAATAATCTGGTATTTGGTCAGTTAACTGGTATGCAAGGGCTGAGCATGGGTGCATTACGTCTTGATTGGAACGCACTTACATTCGTTTTTCCATCACCAATTTTTTATCCGTCGTGGGCTCTTTGTAATATATTTGTGGGTTTCGTTGTCATATTTTGGATAATAGTTCCTCTTTTGTATTATACAAATACATGGAATTCAAAAATACTGCCTATATATGCACAAGATGCATATACTCTAAATGGTACTATATATAATTATACGTTCATTGTAAATAAAAGGGCTGATTTAAATCAAACAGCTTATGAACACTATAGTTCTGCTCACTTGACACCGATACTCTTAGTCAATTTTTGTATTCATTTTACTCTTATAACAGCAGTCATTGTACATACCGTATTACATCACGGTAGATATATAAAAAAACAATTTTATATGTCATTTGATGAGGCAGTAAATGATGTGCATGGAAAATTAATGTCAAAATTTAAGGAAGTACCAGAGTATTGGTTTACAACACTATTTATTTTATGCTTTCTTTTCTCAGTGATTGTTTGTCATTCTGGTCGTTTGATGCCATGGTATTATTTATTTTTACTTGTAGCAATTAACTTTCTGTTTCTATTACCAGCTGGTTTTATTAAAGCAATATCAGCACAAGATATTGATTTAGGAATATTATTGGCACTTATTGGTGGTTTTATTATGGACGGTGATGGAATCGGTAACATGACATTTCGAACATATGGTTATAGTATGCAACGTAATTCATTAACGTTTTTATCCTGCTTAAAGCTTGGTCATTATATGAAAATTCCACCTTGTGCAATGTTTTTAATGTTAATATTAAGTTCAATAGTTGGTTGCATAGTTAGTTATTTTACAGCATATTGTATGTCGAAATTCTTTCTTAATGTTTGCTTGACGTTCACTTGGTATTGTACAAATGCTAGATTTCTTCTACAAATGTCTAATTTATGGGGCATAATTGGTGCACCTAATGTACTTAAAACTTATAAATTTTTACGATATTTCTTTCTAATCGGTGCATTAATCACTGTTCCACCTTGGTTGTTAAGTAAGAAATATCCAAAAATCGAATGGCTAAAATGTGTACATTTTCCAGTTATGTTAGCAACACTAACACAAATTCCACCGTCACGTCCCGGTACTATTCCAACATGGTTGTTAATCGGTTTCCTTTTCAATTTCGTATTCTATAAATATGCGAACAATTGGTGGCACAAGTATGCATACATTTGTTCGGCTGGACTCAGTACGGGTGTTAGTATGGCCCTTATTATTATTTCATTCATCCCACCATTTCCTTATTATTGGTGGGGCAATGCTAAAGCAGCAATTAATATTGATGGATGTCCACATTCAACACAAGTTTTTACTAAGTATAGTGGGTAAACTAATTCTTCAAACTACAATGTGAAAAACATTTTTGGTTGTTGGTTATGTTTCCAACCACTACCCATGTCGAGTTTCCACTACTCGATAGCCCTAAATGTGAGCATCAGACTTGAAATCTAATGTTATCGAAATTAAATTTTTTTTTTTTTGTTATATGAAGCTATCTCTCTACTGTTCGGTTTACGTAAAAGTCCACTTTTTGGTCGATCTGCTACGCTTTGTCAAAAACCAAGCAAAAAGTGACTTTTGAGTCACTCACTTACTGAGTTATAACTTTTGAAGTAGATGCTCATGAGAGTTTGTTTGATTGTCATATCAGAGAAGACAGTTTACTCTGCAAAATAAGACGTTGCGCTACAAAAGGCGCAAGGTATTGACTTTGGTCAGGTGGTTTTTCTTGTGGCGGTTTTCTAGAAATCATTTGGACCGATGAACGACGACGTTCTTAATGGATGTTTAATTCCCAGCCACAGTTGTTAATAAACCACCATTTGTACTATTGCTTAATTTTTGAACACGATAACTGTCTGTAAAGCACAAATTATCAAATTTGTCAACGAATACATTATATACTGGTATATTTATCAGTAACGTAATAATCGAACCATTATTCCTAAAATATTTTTGTATACGATGATTTGATGTATCAGCAATAATTAAATTTTGTTGACTATCAGTTGCAATATCAGATGAACCTCATAATTTATTAATCATAGAACAATAATCGATTCCTGTAGCAACTGTAATTGCTTTTGGATACCATTTAGCTGATAAACAAAGTGTGGCTGGCGGTAGCGGAACTGCATAGGAAAGAAATGGACAGACAAAGAAAGGGAAGTTATCAGTGTGGAAGATCGGCATATCGTTGTCGCGTTTGCGTGGTCTTATTCTACACATTATTTGGGTTAATCGTACTGGATGTGTACAAATATTCTGCATCAACAGTATGTTGAGTTTCTGTCACTCTTTTAAACTATCATAGAGAATTTTTCCCTAATCCTTATTACAGCAAGCCGCGCCGGATAATATTCTCACTGTCTAGCTTGACTTTTATTGCAGGATTTGGAAAAGTCTGTTGTTTTCTCTCGAAAGGATAGTTTTTATCCTGTGTTGTGGTTAGCACATTTGTTGTTCTTGGAGCAGGTTTCAATGTGGCGGCTGAAGTAACGAGAAAAAAAGAGAAATTGTTGGTGTTGTGGATAGATGTGAATTTGAAGCACACATTCGAAGACCGGACTTTCTAATACAGAGTTCATTTCTCTGTTTATTGGTGAAAAAACTTTAAAATGTCAAACAACCTAAGCGATAGACGAGAACGAGATTACAGTTTATAATATTTTGTTATGTGTTTAATGTATGGTCAGGCAAACATTATAATAAACTACTCGTCAACTTGTAATACTTCGCCGGATTAGAAACCGAGTTGTTAGGCATACTCACTTCTGAATAAAATAGGTTAAACCAATGAAAGTGTGCTTTAAATACGGACAAACATATAAAACTTACGAGGGAATCTGCCGAAGTGATAAATCGCCTTTTGATCGACATCTAGTGGGTTATAGGTTATCGACCATGCTGATCCCGAATATGACCATGGGGTTTCCCCATAGCTCTTGGAAGGTCCAGTCTTCTGGAAAACCAGTTTTTCAGAAACCCCAAAAAATAACTCAAGCCTTTCTTCACAATTCAGGATTGTAGCGCGCAAATTTCTGATTAAAATGAAACATCTCCCAGCGCTACACGACCTTTCTTTGCAAAGTTATAGAATTTATAAGAAGAGTCCTAAATTGTTCATTGTCAACTCAAAGCTACAGAAATAAGAAGGAAAAAATTAATTTAGGGCTCTTCTTATAGATTCTATAACTTTGCAAAGAAAGGTCGTGTAGCGCTGGGAGATGTTTCATTTTAATCAGAAATTTGCGCGCTACAATCCTGAATTGTGAAGAAAGGTTTGAGTTATTTTTTGGGGTTTCTGAAAAACTGGTTTTCCAGAAGACTAGACCTTCCAAGAGCTATGGGGAAACCCCATGGTCATATTCGGGATCAGCATGGTCGATAACCTATAACCCACTAGATGTCGATCAAAAAGAGATTTATCACCTCGGCAGGTTCCCTCGTTAGACCCAGTGGTTTTGAACGTTAATCACTAAATTTTCCTACTAGCAAACACTATTTACAGACAAAATATTTTACGCGGAACCTATGGAGGTGAAATCCTCCGTTTTTCATGATTCATACATCAACCGATAGAGTATATCGAGCAAGTAAAAACCCTAAAAGCATTCATCCTGCAGTGTTTTGTTCAAAAGTTATAGTAAAAAGTTATAATAACAGTAACTATCAGTTAGTTAACTTTACGCTAACTGTTTCTTTCCCCTTATTATTTTACATTTCTCATAATCATATTTTGAAAATTAAGTTTCAGGAAATAATCATAGACGCTAAGTTTATATTGATCGTCACTCTCAGTGGGTCAAACAATAATGTTTCTAGGGTTTTACTGTACTTAAGAACACTTTCTTTCAAGAAATTGTTTGATTGCTTTGCGTTTAACTAAAATGTTGAATCATGACTCATGATTCAACATCGTTTTGGAAAGAATATTCACTGGCCATGTCGCAATTAGCAACGATCGTGAAAATGTTCATGGCAATACCTGCTATCAGTGTGCCTAGTGAGGCAGCTTTCTCAACTGCGAATTACCTTCAACGAAAAACTAGATGCTCATTAATGCCAAAAACACGAAAAATTTGTATGTTTTTGAAAGGCAAAATTATTAGTATATGACTACGCAGATTTTGTTGTCACATTTCATTTTCACTGATTAATAAACTTGATAGTGGACGATAACGATGATTTGGTTTTTAGTGATTCTGTACGTACGAACGCTTACTAGTCTTCTGCTGTGTGACTATTTCTAGCATAATTAAAAAAAGTTAGCGTAAAGTTAACTAACTGATAGTTACCGTTATTTTAACGGTAACTGGAAAGGCAGTTAGCGTTAAACCAACGATAACTGAAAAGACAGTTACCGTTGTTTTAACGGTAACTGTCTTTTCAGTTACCGTTGTTTTAACGGTAACTGCACCCTCAGTTAGCGTTAAATCAACGTAACGGGAACTTTTACAGTCCTAGTCAGAATACCAGTACGCAGTGTATTCTCAAAAAGACACTATTTTTTTCAAACTTGCTGGGCTTGCTAGGCTCTACTGTGTATATACACAGTAATTCTACATTCTGCTCAATTGGCTAATCAAAACTGGAATATTTAAAGAGGAATCCTTTTCACTTCATACACTAATTTAAAATACACAAAGTGTAACATATTTGCCATAACTTTCAGAAACAGGTTTCTTTTAGTTTTTAAGAAACAGCTGTCAGTATCATAGATAAAAGTTAGTAAAATGGATCCGTTTCAATTTAATAGTGGCTTTCATATACATTTTACTAACTTTATTCTCTAATATTGAGATCTCTATATGCCAAAAAATTAAAGAGAGCTTTTTCTTAAAAAATAGCATGGTATAGAGTACCAGTTGTGTACTACAAACTGCCGGAAAAGCTGAGGAAGGGTATCGTCAAATTTGTTGACTTTTTAATCTGAGAAGTTGCCAGAATAAACACTAATTTCATAGTAAAGGGAATCTTTCTTTTTGATAAAACGATAAAATTTTCTTTTCTCCATTTCTTGCTTTATATCTCTCTCCATAGTGTGCATAGAAAGAAAAAAAACATCCAGTCAAGTATAGTACAGAAAAGAATATTTTTTTGAAGAACACTTTTGGGTGTTATCTAAGCATTACAGTGTGTCATAATCACAAGAACTCGCTAGTTTTTGGCTTCAAGCTCTCTGGTATCGCCAGATATCCTTATGTATTGCTCTGTACACATAAAAGTTACTTCGTAGTCTGACGAGGTCTCTGTTCCTTCCACAACACATTCACTGGTACAAAGTCCATACATTTTGCACTTTCTTTTGATGTAATGTCACTTATTATTACTTGATATTTCTGGGCCAAACTGTTGTCGTTTTTAAAGTTAGTACAGATACTGACTACTTCTTCAGCAATGCTTCGAATCACGTAAAGAGCCTGTGGCACCTGCTGCATATAAATATCTAATGCTTTTTCGTATAAGCATGGTTAGTTGTGGCTTATCTGCAATGGCTCTCAAAAAGAAGTTATTCTATTCATTCTATCTGCAGATTAATCCATTACCGTCGGCAGTTGGTTCTAATACTTCATAAAGAACAAAAAAACAATAGTTTTGGAAATTTATTAACTTTTCTTTATTTATTTATCGTTAAGAACGATAAATCTGAAAAATCAGTTTATTTGTGAAAATATGCTCATTGTGACAGAAACGTCAGAATATCAGTACGCAGTGTATTCTCAAAAAGACACTATTTCCTGGGTCAGCTGGGCTTGCTAGGCTTGATGTATTCTCATTGACAATACACGAGAATATACCAGAATACGCAAATATATAAATTTCTAGAAAATTTGCTGGGTTTGGTGAGGGTGAAGGAAGGTACACTAGTGTCGCGGTAATGGATTAATCTGCAGATAGAATGAATAGAATAACTTCTTTTTGAGAGCCATNGGGTTGGAGGGGTGAGGCGCAGCATGAGAGTGAGCCACTATGAAACATTTGTGTATTGGCAATGAGAATACGCCGAGCCTAGCAAGCCCAGCAAGTTTGACAAAAATAGTGTGTTTTTGAGAATACACTGCGTACTGATATTCTGACTAGGACTGTAATAGTTCGGATCTTAAAGTACCCGGTTATAGTTTTTTGAGACTCTCTTATATAGCATTTTGACGCCGGTGAAGCTCTCCATCGCATGATGTACAGCGTACAGTGGTTAACGGCAAACTCGATGGATGCTATAGACATGAACACTGATAACAACTGATATTTGCTCTGAATGAAACAGGCAGAATAATAGTTGATATTGTGGCCGACATGACTCATCGCTTTACTTGCTAGCGTAAACA